GAAACGCAGAAGAAACACCAAAGCAAAGGTAGACAAAAACACGCAAAACCAAAAATGACACCAAATGATAATAGTAATAGTAGTAGCATCCCCTTTATTTTCTCATTCACCTCTCACATGAAAAAGTAAAAAGGCAAACAGGGAAACAAAGACCAATATACAGAAAAAAAAACAGGTAAAATATTTTATTCCAGTTGATCGGTAATGACTCTTACCAAGCATAACAAAGGTTCCACCCCACCTCCTCCAGCAGACGCCAGTGTCGCACGCCGTCGGCATGAATATGAACACCAGAAAAAAGCAATGAGTCCACTGGCTATCATGAGGTAGACTCGATAAAAGTCGTCCTTCTGCTGCTCCGAATATGCCTCCACAGTCGTGTGGCACCAGATTGAGATGGCTTCTCTCTCGTGCTCCCACACACAGACGGAAAAGGCGTGCATAGATCAAATGTGTAAGTTCGCCCACTGTCACCTCAGACGCACCGATGCGTCTTGCCTCCAGCAACTACGCCTCTCCCCAGTGAAGGTGTGTGTGTGCGTGCAAAGGCTCCGGCCGTAATAAGGGGTGCATCCCACACGCGAAACATGTTTTCAATTATCAGTAATATATCTACGGCTTGCCCTTTCAAAGAACTGTTGTTACAGTAGAGGCAGAACCCACAGAGGAGGCAAGAAGGGAAGTCATAGGGACGCAATTACTCACACATCTTCCAAGTAGCTAGGAGACTCAAAAATGTGTCGTCACACTTCTTCCCCACCCCCTCAATAGCCAGAGATGCAGTTACACAGAATAAACCTTCCCCCACCACTCTCACTGCATATATGTTTCTCTCTATAACAGGCGCATGTGTATTGTGCGCCCTTCGAGTCCTTCTTTTCATCACCTTAAGCCATAGTAACCAAGAACAAAGTAAAACAATAGGGACGTGTACATAAAGCCACAACACCACACATATGCACATGCGGTTGCTGGCGCAACGCCCCAACTCCGTAGAATCCAGAGGCAGGTGAAAAAAAAAAGTAAGCTACAAAAGCGGGATGCTCGTCCGCAGGTTCACCCTCCGGCAGGATAAATATGTGTTTTTTTTTTCCGATGTTGTCTTCTGCTTCCTATCAGCGGACAAAGGACGACTCATCTCCGCTGAGCCTGAAGTGGATGTGAACATCGCTGTCGTTGCCGCGGCCGGCACGAGGGGAGCCCGTCAAAGATTCTATGAGCGCAGAAATAAGCTCCTGCACGACGCTGGACGGGGTGCGGGAGCGAAGCTCCGTGAGGCGAGTGCGCAGCTCCTCATTCCCACCTGGTTGGAGAGTTCGGTACACGCGGGAGACGTCCTCGACGTGCGCAGGGTTGACAAAGGCGGGGATGCGCAGGGCGAGTTCTCCAGCGTACGCGTCCCACGTCTGCTGTCCCAAAGAATACCTGCGCAGTAAAATAGAATGTGGGGCATTGCTGTCGAAAGACAAGGGGGCGCTCAGTTCCCTCTCAGGCGATCGATCCAAGGAGGCCTTGACAAGAGTTCCACCACCACCATTAACGGCATCCACATGCAGCGATGCAGTGTCAAGCCCGACAGACCAACAGGGCGACATCATTGGGGGTAAAGCAAGGCGTTGCTCAAACACCACGCCCCCAGCACCGTCAAGCAACCGCACTTTCACGTTATGTGGACGTGCAGCACTCATCTTCGCAACAAACTCCGCTTTCCAAGTGTTGCCACAGCCATTCCCATCCACTTCACAAACAATATGAAGGTGTTGAGGGCATACGAGTCGAAGTTGTACTTCCTCTTGCAGTTGCAAAACACTGGCATCCAAAAAGCAGGAAACTGGAGTAGCCACTTGTTGAGGCATTTTTGCCACCTCTGGAGCCATCAACGTGACTAGGGTTTCAGCACAAGGCGCACCACTTACAGGGTCACGTGCTAAAATCTGAATACGATGCACAGAGCCAGGAGGAAACTCGTATCCCAGCGGTATCTGGCCACCTTGTTCTAGGTTCATGAAACCAGTTCCATCCACATCCACACTTAGTCGGCACGGCCTCTCCGTTCGAACATTTTTCAGGCAGCCACCCTCACAGGTAAATTGAAGAGCGTCTGTTAAACTTACAGCACCCCCTTGGGCACACCGCCGCACCAGCTCGTTCTCATGATCACGTAAAAGTTGTAGCAGTAAATCCAGCAGAGCCCTCTCTTCTGGAACTTCTGTGGGAATGGATCCCCAACGGACCGGAAGCGGTGGCGGTGATGGAAGATAAAAAGCATCCACCAGAGCCTTGGCAAGTTCATTTCGCGAGGGTGGCACAGGCAAGGAGGGCCGGTGCAGTGACACGCGAACATTGTTCGTCTCACGCGGCACCTCTGTCGTGGAGTGGGGTGAGAGTTGCATTGGTTGCTTGTCATCGAGGCTGATAAACAGTTGCGTGCTTTCAGGATCCTCTGCAGCCCTAAAATAAATGGGCCGTTGAAGCAAACTTGTCAGGCGACGCAAACAGTCAATAAGAAGCGGTAAAAGTCGCTGACCATTAACAGATTGAGCTGACGTGATATTTGACAGCTCTGAGATCACCTTGTCTGGATTCGCACTGTGCCTCTGAAAGGTCTCAAGCATCCGGGCAACAAGTAGCTCATCTAAGTTTTTATCTGGCGGTGGATGGCGCAAGCAACAACTGGCTACCGCACGTCCCATGGGGGGTGTCACAGCAGTCAAGGTTATACTGTGACCTGCCGGCACTTGCACACTTCCGCCTGCAGCAATTGTACAGGGTGGCGCATTGTCCACAGCGGCTGTGATGCCGTACCCCGGACACTGAATCTCATTCACGGTGTCGTTGCTCTTGTTGAAGGATAATGTGGGTGGTTTTCTGAATAACTGCTCAGACACGAAGCCACAAATAGCTACAGCTTCAGGGGTGGTTGGAAGGATGCCTTGAATCCCACGCCGCGCAGTGTCGAGATCGGAGCTTTGCAGGGCCTTCGCAAGCTCTGCAATCCACGGTTCAACCTCTGTGGGAGCTGCTGCGCTGGGTTGAGGATACGGGCCTCGTTGTGGCCCAATCTCAAACACAGCGGATAAGCCGTCATCGCGCACGGTTACGACATGAGGCGCGTCTTTATCTACGTACACCCCGGCATCACCACTGACGGGTGGATGATTGTCGACGCTTATTCGGCAAGGATGCTTTCCAGTGATGAAGCGTGCCCCATGCGCACTCTCCGCAATGCTGAAGCCCAAAGAGGCTCGTTCCGTCGACGGTACCACCGTACTCTGACGGAGAAGCTGGCGGCCGGAAGGATCGCTGAGAATGGTACGAACACGGTGCTCGCTTCTATCAGGAAGACGAAGTTGGGCAGTTCCATACCCCGACGAAGACGCCCCATTGTCTCCAATCAATTCAATCATAAAGCCTTCAGCAGTGGCGACAAACGTTGGTGGTGAGGCATCGCCAGGGGGGGCTGCCACACACATCGTCTCAAGCTCTGGAACACGAGGTTCAGAAAGATCCGTTGCCACAGGCTCATCATATGACGAGGTAAAGGCTCCAGGGGGGAGAAACTGCTGTGTTGCTGGGGCACGGGGCAGTTGAAAGGTAAAAGGACCACTTTCCACTGCAACAGATACGGCACGGTTGGGTGTGAGGGGAAGAGCCTCACCGCTCCCACTGCAGAAGAGGACGACGTTGTCTTCATTTCCGGCGGTGGTTTGAAGCAAAAAGGTGGCAGCGGATGGTATTTGTGTGGCTGCAAGTGACGGAGAGACACGCCGTGGATACTCCATTTCCGCCATCTCCAAGGAACACTCTTTGGCTTGAATGGGAATCTCATACCAGCCCTCGCAGGGGCGTATTCTCCGTCCGTCTATAGTTAAGATAATGCTATCTGTGAGCCGAGGATCTGGCGGTGCTCGCAGCCGCAGGACACTTTTCCCCTCGCTTCCGCTCAAAATAAGCTTGCACTGGTGCTTCACGCCCCCTCCCTGCACCACGGCATTGAGGTGATACTCGCGGCCGTCGCCAGGCACGGGTACAGCACCGCCGCCGAATGGGAAGACGACTGTCCTTGTTGGGCCGTTGTCCACGCCGAGTTCGCAATGCAACTTCTGTCCCTTTCCCTGTTGTAGCTTCTCAATGACGAGGTTGGCACCCGTTATGCGGAGCGTGAGGACGGTAGAACCCGTTCGAAGCGCCCCCGTGTGTCCGTGGTTGAGCGGCGGCTCCATTTTGTATTCTCCCCGGAAAGGGTAGCCAGCGTCGTTCATGTTGCATCCCACAGGTGGGAACCTCGCGCGCAGCGGCATTGCTGAAGTGGAGGTCTGGTAAAGCAAAAAGAGAAAACAGAAGAAGCTTGACCCCTACTAAGACAAGGGCGACGACTGACCCCTCCTATTGCCCTATTTGGAGGGTGACACAGCCCACACACGCAGACAGACAGACAGAGAGATAAATAGCAAAAGAAGAAATGGTGGAAGAAAGCAGTTACAAGAGTCAACATCCTCAGTGCAGAAGACGCTCAACACACTCTTACCATTCACTCCAATGCTTCATTTTATTTATTAACGTTTTTTTTTTTTCAGACTGAGAGTAGTTTCTTAATCATGCATTATAAAAAAAAGAGGAACAACATCACCACTACGCTGTAGCCCCCCTCAGAGAGTCCACACGCTGACGGATCAAGTCGACGGTGACCGCAAGGTCGTCAAGGGTATTGTTGTCCCGCACAATAAGAATACTATCGTCGTAGGCCCCACGTGCCTCCTCCTCGCAGAGGCCCTGGATCTCAACTTCCATGTTTTCGTCGCGTTTCTGATCGCTGTACTTGCGCGCGGTGAGACGCTCGAAGAGGGCCTCCGTGGAGGTGCGCAGGACAACCACGAGGTGGAACCACCGCTGTGGAAACAACTCACTGGAGTGATAATCCACGACGTGATTGCCGCCGCCCACCATCATCGGCTCCATAAAGTCAAGCAGCCGATCCTCATCGTCCTCCTGCACAATGTGCGTGTCAAGCTCCTTGTCGTACTCGCTGTAGAAGCAATTTTCCTTCACAATCTTCCCCACCTCCACCTGCTCGAAGTCGCCAAGCTCCTGCACGAGGAGCTCGGCGAGGGAGGTCTTGCCCGTGCCGGGCGTGCCAGTGATCAGAATGTTGATGCCCCTGGGACGCTGCATGCCGTCCCCGTTCGTACCTTGAGTTCCTTCACAACGGCATCGTGAATGTGTGTTGGGTTGGTTGTTGTTTTGCGCAAAATCAACTCAACAGGGGAGAAGTTAACACAGCACGTAAGCAAGGTCCTCTTCGTTTCCGCAACGTATTCCTTCCTCGCATTCCTCTGCGAAAGAGAGCCAGGAAGGTATATATATATATACATAAGTGTACCTCTCTGCGTGTATCGGCATCACTCCGTTCCTCAGCCAGCAGAACGAAAGCGACACAAAAACAAACAAACACGGGGCACCACGTCGTAGTACAATGCCTCCAGAAGATGCAGATGTGCAAACAAAAAAGCCCCGGATGGTCCAAAGCCAAAAAACAACAACAACAACACATATACACATAGGAAAGAGAGGCCTCGCGCCATTACTCATTTAACCACCAACGCCAGCGGCCGAAATAAAACAAACACACGAATAGTGGTTACTCTTCCTATCCTTCAGCCACACAAAACACAGGCTCCGGGAAACTTCACTTCTGCCAGGAGGACGCGCGGACCATCTGTTCACGCCCCTTTTGCTCATTGCGGAATCTTTCAAACTCCGCCTCAATGTCCTCCGCATGGGCGCTTTCTTCCTGCAACGGTGCAGCACGATGCCGTGCCCACATGTCAAGTGACAGCTGCTTCATCTTTTGCATCTTCGATGAGGCAAGGCGGTGACTACGCGACGCCCGATGCTCCGGCCAATTTTTCTTCAGGAGCGCAAGATGACATGTCGCACACCATGTCTGGTCCGCCGGCAGGAGTTCCCGCGCCAGCTGCGACGGCCTGAGCTGACGTCCAATGTAACCTTTCCTGCTGAGCATGTCTCCTATATGTCTTTTTCACCCTTGCGAGTAAACAAACAAACAACCAGAGAGAGAGAGTGATAAGAGGAAGGCTGACCTGACTGCTACCGCCGTGGCTGCTGCCGCTTTTGATAAGGACAGTAATGGAAAGCGAATAAGGTAACTTGTTCGCAGACGGGCGGCGAGCGGCCAGATTCCTCATATCGCCCCCACTCACTGTCTTTAATCCAATCAGCAATTCTGTTGTTGTTGCTTTTTTTTCCTCTTTTTTTTATTTTTGCGTCCAGCAGAGTACTTCTGTCGGACTCGCCTCCATCATCAGCAGCAACGCAGCTCTCCATCAGACGGCAGCAAGCAGCGCACGTGATCGTCAGTAAGAAGGTTAGTTTTCCCTCCGGCTCAGTTATCATCCTCGTCGTCATCCTCGTCGCTGTCGTCGGAGTTCTCAAGGTGAAACTCGGGCAGGGACTGTTGAGTGACCATTATAGGGGAGTACGCTGCGGAACCAGGTCGCACCGTGCGCCGCCGCGCACTAGGGCCGTCACCGCTCTCTCGCATTGAAATTTCTTTTTCAACACGCAGCGGGGTGGTGAAAGCAAGACTGCTGCCACCCACGTCATTAACGGCACCGGTCATCGTTGATGACATGTACGAGTCATCGTCCAAATACAAGGAACGCAAAGGAGTACTGTCCTCCACCGCCTCGGCTGAAGCAGCAAAAGTGTCAAGAGGAGCTGGTGAGAGGACGTCTAGCAGAGGCACAGTGTCTTCATCCTCGTCAAAGCCAAAAGTCGTTTTATGCAGCAGTTGTTCATAGTGCCAGGAGCGCCGATCTTCACTGTGCTTCACATTTGTATGAACGCTTCCGGTAAGCGACCCCGAGGTTAGGCACAGCGTACTCCCACCATACGCCCCTGTGGGGGCCTCTGAGAGGCTTATCCATGTCCTCACCTCGTCTGGGTCCTCGTTCCTCTCCTGCGTCCCCGGTCCCATGTCTGCCTCATTCCCTTCCTCGACCGCGGCGGAGCGTTGTCGCTTCATGCCAGCGCCCGTTGATTCTGGAAGAGCAACTTCGGCACAAAGCGCCGACAGCCTCCAACTTAGATGGCGCACGAGTTCACAGGGCAAGATGCTAGCCCCAGTAACTCCATCAAAGAGACGCTGCACCCGAAGATTTCGCTTTTTAAGGCGCTGAAAGACGTCTTCAAAACGTTGTTCGGCGGAGGTGCCGATGCGAAGCAAGCGCTCGCCTACCTTCAACTCAATGTGTTGCTGCACCTTCCCGGAGTGAGCAAAGGCGTTGTCAGAGGCGTATGAGCGCACGTGATCTCGGCCAATCAGTGGGCGCTTGATAGTACCATCCTTCAGGAGAACGGGTGTGGTGGTTTTGCTGCACTTCTCTTTCACGTAGTAAAAGAAGCAGCAGAGGTTATTCTCGGTTACCTCAAATGTGTCTTCGACGGCTTCGTAAACCGCATTGCTATCTCCAGGAGCAGGGTCCCGCATTCTTGTGAAGTTGCGCACCACGATCCTCGGGAACTCTCCAAATGTGCCTTGTGGCATTTGGGCGATTGCTTCTCTCCCGGGGCCATCACCTCCGTCGCAGCGAGGGCATACATACGATCCATTGAAACCACTGCCGCCGTCGGCTGTGTCACTCCTGCAAACGCCACCCCCACCGCCCAGTGCATACGGAGAAGCAGCTTGCGCAGACATTTTTGCAGACTTCTGCGGACGCGCGGCTGAGGGATGCAGAACAAAGTACTGGTTAAGACGGTATTCCACCCCCTCTGCAAGTTCCCCGTACGTCATGCTGCCCCTGTAAAAAGGCACCAGAACATCGCCCCGGTAGTCATTCGCCTTGCCATAGAAGCACCTACTCCCTGAAGCAGTGACGGGTTGGCACTGGTACAGGCTGATGCACACCGCGCCGAGGGACACGATGGTTTCTTCCGCACGCATGCATGCGTCTTGCGCCTTTCCTTGCCTGTCGCTCCGTCCAACTGGCCGCGGCCTACCCCCCCCCACCACCGCCCACCCCGCAAGCGCCGTCTCCAAATACCAACGAAGATGCGGCGGAAATCAGGCAGAAAAAGGACAATTGAACATGGAAAAAAGAAAGAGATAAAAAAAATCTGACACGCAACAGTAGTTGATCGAATAGAAAGAAGAAGAAAAAAAGAGACACAGCGGTCCCACTTTACCCCATTTACTCGGGTCTTTGCACTGCTTTTTCCTTCTCATTTTTGTTTCAGCCGTGCTTCTCCACGTCTAAAGGGAGAGAGACACAAGGACGGCAGAAAAAAAACACTTGTGCCACACCAGCGATGGGAAATCTTAACAATAAACAAAAAAACAGAGAAAACCAACGCATAATGATAGTAGCCGGCGTTAGTAATGGAAGAGCAGAGAGGCTCATCCTTAGTGCGCCACACGAATAACGCTTAACAGACACGAAATTATCTGTGAAGAGGTTCATGTAGCTATATTCAGGTAGATCTAGGACGTAAATGGAACCCATTAAATATATGCACCTTTGTACTTAAATACAAATAAAAAAAGATAAAGCGTGAGAGACTTCCCTTCATTGCCCTTTGCATTGGGGTTAATTTCCTTTCCTTCCTCTCTCTCTCTATCTCTCTCTCGGTCTCGCACTCACTGTATCTTCTACTACGATTTAGACAAAAGAGTCACTCACACGCACACGCACATATACAAAGGGAGAATAATATTGTGGTAAAACGTGCATCAAACAGCACCGTTTATTTTTTTCATCTTCTTCCCTTTTTAGTTCTATTTTTTTTTGTTCGTTTGTTTCTGTATTGAGATATAAACGAGGGCATGAATGAATGAATGAATGACAATCTATAATTCGAAGTCCCCAACTGTGTTGGATTTCTAAACTTCTCCCTCCTCCTCCTCCCCCTCCTCTACCTCATTCCTCGACGTAAGTGACGCACCCCCCTCTTTCTTTCCTCCTTCGTATTTTTTCCCTCTTTAGCACGGACGTGCAATTTTGGGGGAGTGAAGAGGCGGGGGGGGGGGTTGAAGGATTCGTTATTGCATCTAAGTGAAGCAGTAAAAATAAAAAGTGTTCGAATACATCTCCGTTTCCCTCTCTGGTGGAGAAGAGGCCATTCTGGCCCCAGTTTACTTGGATAGCGCGGCGAAGTAGGCCGGCAGCACAATGTCTCTCCTGGCAC